GAGGGCTGGGAGGCAGAGAAGGAACCAGCATCCAGTTTCAGAGAGTAGCCGCGATCCTAAGATGGACAAGCAAGATGATGTAAAAAACCAATTCAGCAGTCAGCTGTGGTGCACAAATGACTCCCAGGGATAGGGTAAGGACAGCCAAGCACACAGGCGGATACGAAATGAGACAACTCGATCTGTGTGGGGCAGCGTGGTGTGACTCCTGCAGTGATTGGGCATAGCTCAGGGCCCCTGTGAATGGGGAGAAGTCTTTGCAGAAACCCTACAAAACATAGAGACTTTTCAGGCAAATGCTGAACTAAAATGCATAGAGTTTTGCATTCCCAAATTGGTTTGTCAAGTGCTATAAGGCTTGGGTAAGTAAAAAAGGGGCTCCCTTGAGAACTCTGGCAAAGGACAGTAAGACTTCATTTATTTGGTAACTTTAACTACTGAGGGAACGCTGGTGAGCTATACGACCCAAAGGGCCTCTGAGCAGAGTTTACAAGGACATAAACCCTATGCCTTGAGGCTCATCGTCTGAATTCAGAAGAGCACACCCCTTGGAAAAAACTCTTTACTCTTGCTTTAGGACGAAGGCTAAGGAACTTGATCATTTGATTTCCTGGTATAGCAGATCAATTTTAAAAAAGAATCTATTTCTCCAGCCCTAGAATCTGGTCTGGGCTTGTGGCATGTGTTTGCCAATAAAATACAGCAGAAGTGAGAGTGCCAGTTCCCAGCCTCAAGAAGCTCTGCCTGCTTCTACACTCTCGAAATTCTGCTATTCTCATGTGAGCTGGAGGATGAGAGACTATGTGAAGGAGAGCCCAGTATCCCAGCTGAGGTTATCCTAAACCAGCTGAAGCCAAGATGATCCCAGAGCTGCCTCCCCAATCCACGGCTGCACACGGATGCAAGCATGAACCCAGTGGAGCCAGCTGACACATAATCATGTGAGCAGTAGCAAATGCCTGTTGTTTGAAGCCACTAGGTTTTGAGGCCAGTTGTTACTCAGCGATATCTAACTGAAACACCTGGTCTGCTATAGATTGTTGACTGGGAACAAGAAAACAAACCAATAACTAAAAAAGCAGAAACAGACACTCAAAGGTTGTAATGGTCTGAGGCTATTTAGGGAAAGGGAAGCAGTTTGTGGCACTTTGTAAGACCCTGACCACTGGTGGTTTTAAAGCACAGTATAAAAGTCATCTAGGAAAACTAACTGAAAAATAGTGTCCTTTCTTTAAGAAGAAAAATGCATGAACCATACTTAAGAAAGACGTTCATTTTGGGGCACTGGGGTGGTGCAGTCAGTTGGGCATCTGACTCTTGGTTTTGGCTCAGGTGGTGATCTCAGGGTGGTGAGATCGAGCCCTGTGTTGGGCTCTGTGCTGAGTGTGGAGTCTGCTTGAGACTCTCCCTTTCTCTCTCTGTAATAAATAAATCTTTTTTTTTTTATTTAAAGTAAAAGATTCTCATTTAAAATAGTTCACATAAAAAGCTTAAGGTGTTAAATGTTATTTATCTGGGAAATTCATTTATGTGTGCAGAGACCATACTATCCAAAGCAAAAATCGGGTAACAGATAGGACTTTGTATTATTTCCAGGTGCAAAAGGAGCATAGGCTGGGAAATGGAGGTTGGTTGCCATGATGTTGGCCTGAAACCACTCATGGTGACAACGGGACAGCACAGTTGAAACCAGAACGACCTGAGATTTGCGCAGAAGAACCAAACTCTCCCTATCTGGCCCTTCCTTCCTCAAAGGTGCCAGATTAATGGTGCTATCAGAGGCACCAGAGGGCAGACACACAGACTGTGGACTGCAGGGTCTTTGTAGGGCTCTCTGTGCAGCAGACGGAAAAGAGACAGGGTGGAAGGAGTGCATTAGCACAAAGCTGCCATCTGCAGGACCAGCTTCACTCCGTGGCTTGCCCTTTGTTCCTTCCTTTGAACACCACGCACCCAGTTCATTCTGTTTCACGTACTTGAATTCTGCTTCTTTCCAAGACACCATTAAGCACCACAGGGGAAAACCATAATAAAGGTTCATATTTATTGCAAATATTTATTGCAAATATAGTGCCAAGGACTGGGTGAAGCTCCTGCCCTGGATGAGCTCATTAACCCTCTAAGTTAAGTGCTACTGCTCTCTCTCCTTTAAGGAAGTAGAACAGAGGGGCAGAGAAATGAAGCAAGCAGCCCAAGGTCACACAGTTAGAAATGACAGAGGCAGGATCACAACCCCGATGGCTGGCTCCACACCCATCCCCTACATTGTTCTGCTCTGTTCCTTCAGTAGGCCAAGTTTCCTTATTCCCTTCTGGGGAATGGGTGGGTGTGGCCAAAACCTTTGACCCAATCCTGACTCCTGCCTTTTTGGAACCGGATCTTCACCATCACCAGCCCTCAGGCCTCTCCCCAGCATCAGCTCCCGGGGAACTGCATGACATGGACGAGGTCCTTTGCCTGATGGCTAATCCCCACCCATCACCGGCCACAGGCCCAGGGAAAGCACACCCAGCATGGGGACGTGTGTGCCCACCTGAGACAGCTCAGCTTTCAGCTTTGGGAAGCAGAGCAGTCGCACCCAAGGCCAGCTGCCAGCACCGCCTCCCTGTCCCCGCCCCCACTGAGCCGCTGACAGGCCAAGGCTCCAGGCTGCTTTATCTCCTGCTCACACCCGGCTCCTCTCCCTCCTCCTCTCTATCTGGGAGTTTCCTTGTGGTTCTAATGAAAAACCCTTGTGTCACATTGAAAAGTTGCCAGTTATTGCTGCTGGGAATAAAATCTAGTCTCTGCTGGGAGGAGACTCCTGAAGCTCGGAGCTAGGCGTGCGGAGTGGCTCCTTGGAATAATCTCTCCAGTGCCAGGGGAGCAGCCTCTCAGACATAATGAGATGCTATCAGGTGGGGCCCTTCCTGACAGCAGTAAACAAACAAACAGTAGGCCCTGCCTGGCTCCCGCCCCACCTGGACTGTCTCCCTGGCCGGCCTCAGGCCTCAGCACACCTGCCTGGAGTCAGTGGGCTTCCCTGAGGCTTCTCGGTTCAGGCTCTTTCCCCATATCCCCCAGAGATCAGACAAAGCTGGATGCCTCTTCGCCTGTGAGCTCTCAGGTCAGTGAGGGCCAGGCAGTGGCAAATTCCCTCCAAATTCCCCCCAGTTCTCAAAGACCTGGTCAGTCCTCTTATAGATTATTCAAAATGCAGGCTCCTCTGGATCTACCTGGAGTCACTGAATCCAAATCCCCAGAGCGAGGGTTTGAGAAACCCATTCTGAACCCCTCCTTGCCTGGACTGTCCTGCTCAAAACCACTGGACCTGCGTGACTTGACCCAAGGGAAGATGCTCCCTCTAGCCGCCCCCACATTGCTCTCTTAGGACTGCAAACTCACATGTGCCCTTTGAAGGCCAGGCATTTCTAGCACTGATCCCCCCAGCACACAAGGACAGCCGTTCCTGTCCCTCTTCCACAGAGAAAGAAGAGCAGAGTCCCTTGCAGGCTCTAGCACCAATGCAGTCAAGGTCATCCTGCTACCTCACTCAAGGGCACTCTCTGGAACAAAGGCAACCACAGTGAGATCGGAAAAGCAACTTTAGAGCCTGGTACTTGGGAAGCCCCGCATCATGACAGTAGAGGGGGGCAGAGGGGGTGCTCTGTGACTTGCAGAGTCAGCTGCAGCCCTGACTCCACAGCAATCTGTGTCGAAGTCAAACTGAGCTCCAGTCAGTGGCCACCTTCCAAAGTACTTGTGTTGGGGAAAATGGGAATCTCGGTGACTCTTACTGAGAATCTCGGTGACTTGATGCTGCCTCCCCTCTGGCCCTGCCCTGGGAACATTTGATGATGTCTGAAGACTTTTTTTTGGTTGTCACAGTTGTGATGTGGGTTTTGGCATCTAGCTGGAAGAAGTCGGGGATGCTGCTAACTATCCTAAAATGTACAAGATTGCCCAGAATATCAATAGTAACACTATCATTAAGTCCCGGAGTAGATACGAGATGCCATCAGAGATGCCAGTGCAAATCCAGGGCTCCCCTTGCCCCCTGAACACAGGATGTTCACTGAGGGGTTTGGGTTTGGGAGTAGAATTTTCTTAGCCTCGATTTGTTGTTATTTATCTAGAAAGAGCATGCAGATCAACCTGGGGCCAGCAGAGAAAGGCTGACAGGTTGCACACACAGCCAGCCCTCTGTGTGAGCTGGGTTTAAAGGATCCACTTTACTCTGATATCCAGGAAATGCTAAGACCCAGCATAAGCCCTTGATCCCTCGGATACTGGTCATCGCTTCAACAGTAGCATATGGCTGAACAAACGTTCAGTTTGGGACTGTCCGATCAGATTTATTCCATAACAGATTCCCCAGGTGGTCTCTCCTCTTCACTGAGAATTCGAAAAACAGACCATTTAGTTGACAAAATTGAGTTTCCCATGAGTTAACGGAGTGGGAGTGGAACCAGCTACCGGTGCAGATTGTAGCACAAATGCTCCTGAGGAAGCCAGGCTGGAGGTGCCAAATATTTTCTTTACAGTTGATTTGATGCAGTTCTGTGGTTGATGGTGTGTGGAGGTGGAACGCCTCCTGATGGCCCAGCCCCCTCCTGTTTGCGTGGCCAGCACCTCAAAGGGGCACACATAATTTTTTCCCCCTATAAAGTGAACCTGGGCATTTTATAGCTGAAAAGGGAGCAATTCTATTTGAATTCATCAAGAGGCTGAAGGCAAAAATGCATTATGTAGCTTTTAAGGACATTCTTCCTAGATTGACAGGGTCCCGTGGTCACCCCTGAAAAGCTTCAGCAACAAAACATTTCTTGACATCACTCAAGGGAGGTCTGCTTGTCTTAGCTGTACTCGCACAAGGGCCTGCAGTTTTTTTTTACTCATCAGTTTAAGAAATGACTACAGTCTGCCTCTTGACGTGGTGCATACTTGTTAGCCACGACCCCGTCACACTTCTCTTTTGTTAAATTAGAAGAAAGTAGTAATATTATTGAGGAGAAACATACCTTTCAGCCACTTTGGACATTTTTAAACAATGTCTGTCAATCTGTGCATTCAAAAATGTTATCTGGGGAAAGATAGAACAGAGGTGTTAAGACCAAACTTTTTTTTTTTCACCCTTCACCCCATGAACCCAAACCTTGTATTTCCAAAAATATCCAAACAGCAGCATCTCTGGCCAGCCTTTGCCAACCCTCCAGCTTTGTATTCCAATGATCATTTGCTCTTTTGGAAATTTCCACCACACTCAGGAATCACACTCTACCATTTAGCCTATGTCAATATTCTTCTGTACTGGGTGGTAGCCTAAGTCTTGACTCCCAAAAGTGATTGCAAACTTAGAGGCAGTGGTGTATATCCTACAAAGCTTAGCAACACTTACAGGTACTGTAAATATCTGGTTGGACTAATTTCTAGTGAGTTCCCTCTGTGCACCCTTCACACCTACATCACACCCACCATGCGCTTGGTATACTTGACTAGATCATCAAATAGCTTCTTCGCATACATCTGTTTCCTCTTCCCCACCCAATATAAACTTGTCAAGGGCAGGCACCTCAGGACCCCCCACCGCCACTGCCAGAAGCCAGTAAAACATAATGTAAAGATCCTAAAGTTACTTAATTGCCAGTGAATTCTAGAAAGGAGTAATGTAATTAGCCATTGTCTGCTGACCTGGGTTGACCAGTTAGCTTCTCATCATGAAGGAAGACAACACTGAACCAAGTAATGCTGAAGTGGTTCTGAGAGTGAGGATGGCTTTATTTGTAAACTTGCCTTTTGAATCATAGCAATAAAGTCGGTGGTTCTGAGCTGGCTTACTCTGTCAGTGCATTACTATGTTAAGGACCCTGTGATACCAGTCCGCCCCTTCCCCCTTCAGCCCCCATATTATTCTGTGGGAACCCCGACTACAGCAGTCACCCCGAGGCATTGGGACAACTCCGTTGCGTCCTTCTCTAATAACTGCTGGGGGGAGCTTGGTAGAGCATTTTTCCTCTCAAGCTTCCATGGGTTGTTCACACACAGCACTCAGAGGTTCAAGTCATCCACAGCTGGGTTCCACTGTGGTTTCCAGGAACTCAAAGCTCACTCAGCCTTCAGAGGTGAACATTCAAAGGGTTTTCAAACTGGCTACGTCTCCTCCTGGGAGTGCAGTAGTCAATTCATTCACCTGTTTCCGGATGTCCTCTTTTGTAGTTTTCCTGATTGGTTGACTGGGTATGTGCACGGGGCTTTGCGACTGGGATTCTTCAGTCACGCCATACACAGACTAGAGAAGAAGCAAGAACACAGAATCACGCACCCTCAGAATTGCAGGGCGCCTCAGGGTAGGCAGTGCAAGAGCTCATTTGATGCTTCCTATCCCTTCTGTGACATCCTGACAGTAAGTGATCAGCCTCTGTGCAAATTTCTACAGTGAAGGGAGCTCTTCCTCTCGAGGCAGCTTGTCCCATCTTTGGGCTAGCACTGTGAGAAGAGCTTTCCTTTCACTAGGCTGCAACAGTCTCTTGAGTATCAGTGTGTCTCCACATATGGTCCATAGACCATCTGCAAGGAATGATCTGGGGGTACTTGGTAAAGAAGCACATTGCTGAGCCCCACCCCACACCTACTGAATCGGAGTCATTGTGGGTGGGGTTTGGGAACCTGCACTTTTATCAAAGGGCCCAGGTGATTCTAAGGCACAGGAAGTTTCAAGAACAACTGTTGAGAGTTATGCACAAAAGATCCTCTCTAGATTTTCTGTTCCCCAGCAGATGACATGCTCATCTGGTACAATCTGAGATGGCAGGGTTTCAGATTCTTTCCTTTTCAGCCAAACAGGTCTCTGGCCTCAGTTTCTCTGCATGCTATGGCTGCTTATTAAGCTGGTCCTTGTGCTAGAGACAGATGAAAGACAATCTTTGCTTTGGGAATGAAATGAAACCCCAAAGGCTATGCAATGTATAGCTGAAATCTGTAAAATCAAGAAGGGCTCAGATAGAGTGGATGTGAGCTCCATGAAATTCTGGAATATTAGAATTAGGGGGCCCTTAAAGATTAAATGAGGATGTTTTAAGATGAACATCATAAAGTCTAATACATACAAGGGCATGACTATCCAAAGAATAAAATATGTAAATAGATTCAAAAAGTTGATATACATATCATATCATGTGTGTGTGTGTTTGACAAAAGGAGGGCATTGGTTATTACAAGAAATAGGAATGTCTGGGGGTTACATCTCTAACCTTTTGAAATTCATGTTATGGGGGACAGACATGTTTTTCTACAATATGGTCCCTGGTGCTGTTGTGAAGTTGGGATATGCCAATGGTGGGGTGGGCTGAGTGTGGCACCCTTGAGTATACCATGGGCACTGTCCCTTCAAGGACAGTGAAACACAAATGATGGTTGGCCCATTCACAGTTGGGTGTGATGGTGATTTGAATTTGGATGATCTAGCTATATAAAGGACTTTCAAAGTATAAAGCTCACCTTCACCTGTGGGACTTTGATACTTTTTGTTCCTTTAGTTTCTTTTCCTCTCCAGAGCCAACTGCTACTTAACCTGCAGGCTTCAGCACACTTGAGCCTGCTTTGGAAGCCCTTAGAAAGCCCCCAGTGTGGGGGTCCCTCCGAACCCCCTCCTGGTGCCATTCAACATTTCCCTGACGCAGCCCTCCTGACACTTCTGTCTGGGGGTTCACCTCTCCCCACCCCCCTACCAGACTGTAGGCTTTGTGACGACTCTCACCACCTTATTTCAGCAGCAAGAACGGTGCCAAGTACACACCAGTCACTCCACAAATATTTGTAGAATGAATGAATGAAATGGTTTCAAAGGACAAAACGGGGTAGAATTAACAAATAGCAAATGACTGTTTGAACAGTACCAGAAACAGAAGGGCTATTTGCGTCAAGAATTTTTAATTCAGCTAAACTAGCGAACCTTTTTAACCTTTTGTGGGTTCTTCAGACGCCGGCATTTTCTTATGTCCATTTCTGTTGTGTTCACACAGCCTGGCTGAGGAAAAAAAGAATCATCATATAAATCATATAAATCATATACAAATCATATAAATCACTAAGTGAAAATCACACCTTTCAAATAACATCATCAGACCCAGTCTTTGTCTTTCCCGTTACAGACCATACATGATTATCTCTACTTCGCCATTTACAATGCCTTTTACCAAGATGTTTCGTCTTCATTATGTGTTTCTGCACAGAGTTCCCATATGAAATATAAAAGCCTACGTCCCATTATGTAGGGGGTGACATGTAGAGGATAGAATGTGCAGTTTATAAGAGCAAACTTCTTATGCAGAGTGGCCAGATAGATTTAGCCACAGCCTTTGTTTACTAGACATTATTTGACCATCTATCCACAATCCAATAGCACAATGGGGAATTGCTTTTGGGTTTTTCTTTTGACCAGCTTTTAGGAAGGACTGACATAATTTCCTCATTTTAGTTCCATTTCATGAAGAAAATGCGAGGGTTGTTTTAATCATAGGAAATTCGAAATAAAGTCGAACCTCATTATGCATGGGATTTTGTATTTGTGAACTGACCTATGAGCTAAATTCTATTTATAACCCCCAAATTCATATTTGTGGTACATTTGTGATCATTCATGGACAGGTGCAGAACAGCAAAAATTGTGAATGCCCCCATGTGCCTGTTCCAAGAGAGGCTTCTCGTTTCATCTCTTAATGTAAACCAGTGTCCTTTTCACAGTCTATTTAGGACCACCTTTTCCACATTTCTGTGCTTCTGGTTGGTGATTTTGCTATTTAACATGGCCCCCAAGCATAGTGTGGTGTCGTCTAGTGTACCTGCTTGCAAGAAGGCCGTGAGGTGCCTGTCAGAGAACAAGGTGTGTCAGGTGAGCCCCCTTCAGGCATGAGCTATATAGTGCTGGTGGCCGTGAGTTCAGTACTCATGAATCCACACACATTAAATAAGATGTCTTTAAACAGAAAAAGGCTTTCGACATGGTTATGTATTGATCACTTGAAGACAAGATGGCATCGAGTTGCTGGCAGGAACCTAACCCTGGATTTCTCCCAGGATAATGGCTCAGCATTCACTAATTCAGCATGCACGGCTCCTTTGCAGAAGGTAACTACCGTGAATACTGACAATGGGCTGCATTTGAAGACGAATTATTCTAAGATTTAGAGTCGAATGACAGTAGAAATGGAAACTGCTTATTGAAAGTGGGGGGATGGAGAAACATCCATCATGCAAATGGATGTCAAAAGAAAGCCAGAGTAGCCATTCTTGTATCCGACAACCAGACTTAAAACCAAAGACAAATAAGAGGTGAAGAAGGGCACTATATCATAATAAAGGGGACAGTCCAACAAGAAGGTCTAACAATTGTAAATATTTATGTACCCAATTTGGGAACACCCAAATGCATGGAAAAAAAAACAAACAAACAGAAACTGCCTAATTTGGGGCTATAAACTTCTGGGGCCCAGAGGTCCTAAGGGGGAATTCCCACGGTTCTCCTTTTCCAAGTCCATATTTTCATGGATGAATAATTTTTAAAAGCTGCAACTGTCATACATTCTGCACTATCTACCGAGATTAAATTGACTGAATGGCAAAACCAATTTCACCAAGTTTAGCAATTCACTTTACTTTTAAGAATGAGACACCTGGTGGCTAAAGATAGTCTTTTCTTTTGAGTGAAGAAGGAGGGAAAGAAAACAAAAAACAGACAGAATCATAGAGAACCAAGCAGAGTTTTCTCACCACTGGCCTGTGCACATCCCAAAAGGCCCGTTCTTGACTATCCAAAATTTTCCTTTCTGTCTTGTCCTTTTTTCGATCTATCCTGAAAGAGCAAAGAAAGGAAATCAGAGGCTCTCGTTTCTAGGAGCTTAGTGCACACAGGGCTCTTGGCATCTGTGTGGTCTCTGGTCTCTGCAGAGCTGTAAAATGTGGCAGACCATTCCCTCAAGGAAACCTCGGGAAATCAGCCCGTGGGAAGAGTACTTGTTCTAGGCTGGACCACAAATCATCACAGACGTGGGATGAACATGCTGGGCCCAAGGAGAGAACCAGAACCCAACTGTCCATTTGAATGATTAGGATTTAGATTATTCAGAGCTGAATTATCAATGGACATGCCCCCCATCAAAGTGGAGACTGCATTCATATTATAGGAAAGAATATAACCATAGGCTTTGCAGTGTTTCATCGTCAAATTTGAAAGTTTGCTTTAGAGACAGTCAATAGAAATGTCCCATGTTTTAAAAGTCACTTAAAGCACTTGGCTTTCTAAAGCAGAGTAATATCCCTAGCATGTGACAAGATCCAGAAGGCAAATATCACTGGCCTCAGCTGGGGGAGGCACAAATTGCAAGAGGGAAATTACAGGTGACAAAGACAAATTCTTTATGTTCTGGTCAGTAACATAGATAAGAGGGTTTTTTTTTCTTTTTTTTTTTTTCAAGCCTGTATTACTTCATATTACCTCTCTAAGTAAAAAGTAACAGATTAATTGTTGTGTAACTTCTGGTTCTTGGCTCTCTTGGGAGCACTTTAGTTTACTGGCCTGAAATAAACCATAATCACCCTGTGATTTTTGTGATAATTACTGTGTACTTCAATGGCCCACAATTATAATGTAATCTCAGAGTTAATCAAAAAAGTTAATCGAGAAATACCATATATGTACAAAGTGACAATTTCCCCTCCTTTTTAACATGCACTGCTGTGTGATCCTGAAGTGCAAATTAGGTCTCCTCTTTGCTTCGCAGTGGCTTTTGAGTACACAGGCTCAACTGTCTTCTCCTCCCCCACCACCTCCCACTTTCTCTTTCCTTAGGGGCCGCCACGGCTTCTCCAGCTCAGCTCAGTGTCCAGTGCCCAGTGCCCTCCTCCCTCCTGGGCTGCCGGTAGCCACAGGGTGGTCTGCAGGGGTGTGGAGTCATGGGCAGAGGGGAAAGGCAGACACTGCAGAGGGAGGGGAAGAGCAATAGAATCATGCCGGACACTGGACCTAAAGTCCTCGGGTAATTTCCAACTACAACCACACCTGTGATGGAGGCTCACCCACATGGCCTGAGACCCAGCCCTGGGTGATGGGCTATAACACTGCCCAGAGTGCAGAGGGAGTCCTTTGAAGATGCTGCTCAGGGACAAGTGGTGCCCAGAGAAAAAATGCTCACCTTTGCCTAGCTCAGCATCCCTTTCTCATCCCCTCCTCTGTCCTATTTCTTCCGTTAACACCTCCAGCTAAATCAGAGATCATTGCTGGAAGGGGCAAGAGAGAACCCAACCTGAGCAATCTCATTGCCTAGAATTGAAAGGGTCTGGTTGACAACCACACTTGTGGGCAGGCGGACAGTTATTGGCCACTTCTCATATTACCTTAGAGAGGGAGAAATTTCCACTACACTCCCTGGGAAGGAAAAGTGTGGGGCAAACACTCCAGCTAGACTTTCATCTCCTGTACTCTGGGAGGAGAAAGAGGGCCTGAATCCTGTTGGTTCATCTGAAAGAAGAAATCGAGAAAGCTAGGGTGGGTCCTGTCTGGGCCCTGGGTCAGCCTGTCCTCAGGTTGCCTGTCCTCTGCATGCAGTGAACTTACAGGGCTCAACTCTACCCTGGGGTGGGGGGCTCTGCAGATATCCGGCTCTGCTCAGCATGGGCTAGTTGAATTCCAGGTAAAGAACTGTGGTCACAGATCCAAAGTTGCACCCTATAACCTGCCTTTTATCAGTAATAATCTTAAACACACTGGCTTCCAACATCTGACTTCTGCACCTTATTTTGATTGGTTCTGAACCCCTCCTCTGGGGGGAAAGGGAGAAGAGTTGGCTCCCTAAAGCTCCAAAATGTTTTCCTATGAAGACAAAACCTCCAGACCTACAGGTAAAGAAGGTCTGATGTTTTTCAGCTCTTGAGCACAGAAGGATCATTGGCAATCTCTTTAGGAAATAGGAACATCTTCTAACCAGATTTCTACATTGCGGAGCAAGCCCATTGGCTGCTAGAACACCTGCTTTTGAAGTTATTTCAGAGTGCCATTGATGACAAAGATGAAACTTATCCATCTAGGCCTTGATTTCTACTCTGCTGCTTTCATGCAAGATGACAGCATTGACCATAGTTGGCCCGCCGTGGAAGGAAACCCCGCCTTGGCAATACCACTCTCACACCACCTCCACATTCCAGAGAGTCTTTTCTCTTTTCCAGGGTCTCTGTTAAGTTCACCTACTTCACTTGTGCTTCTGCTTGCATAAAGATGAATTCCCACTTCCTTGCAAAGGCCCTCTGGAGTCTTGCTAAGTTTTCCTAATGAGAAATGAAAATCAACGAGAGGGCATTAATCTTTGTAAGTTTGCACATCGACACCTATGCTTATTACAAGGCAGTCATCTATTTTGGTTACTCCCAACAGAACAGCAGCACCCCACTTTAAATCCACTGGCCGTGAACCCAATGTGATTTTGCACCAGACCCTGCTGTACAGAGTAGAACTATTAATATTCATTTACACACCCATTAAATCCAAAGTCTCCGTGGTTCACCTGATTCCTCTTCTCTTGTGTATTTTATAACACCACTCATATATTGCTTGTCATCAAGACCGCTAAAGATAGGGAGAAGGGTTTGTGGCTATTTATGCAGGATTTGGGGAAGGGATTGGGGGGGGGGCGCTCTTTGCAGGCTATTGGACATTTCTGAGAGCAAAAGCAAGTATGGATTTCCATGACTCCTTTTCCAGCAAGCAGGGGCCTGGGAATGTGGCAGGAAAGGAAAACGCTGATGACCTGGCATTCATGCCTTTGAAAGTTTGGATTCAAAAGCAAGAGAAAAAAGGAGTGTCTATATTTGTAATGTTCATGAAAGGAAAACCCAAAAATAAAGAAAGAAAGAAAGAAAGAAAGAAAGAAAGAAAGAAAGAAAGAAAGAAAAGGCATGTAGGGTTGCCTTTGGAGGAAGAGGGGAGAAGCCTTTTCTCTAAGTCTGTAGGCTTACCAGGTGGCACAATAGGACAGTGAGGGGTGGGTGGTGGTGTTTGACAGGTCCCCTAATGACCCACCTAATTCTGATGGAATGCAGGACAGAGCCCACATTATGCTATGTATTTTCATAGAGCTCATGCCAACGCTAATTGATTACCCTCATTAGTGGATTATTAATATAAAAGGAGCTTCAGTTGAAGATCAACACACCTAAACTGTTATTACCGAGGCTCAGTGTACGAGTACCTCAAAAAAGCCTGTTCCTTTGATTCTTCCACTGCTCTAGGAAGCAAAGCTGGCAATGCCTATACATCAGTCAATTAGGGAGCAGTTATATAAATTATGAACGGTCATACCATGGAATACTAGGCAGTCATCGAAACCAATAATCTAGATTATTATTACTGACATGGAAAGATTCTCAATATACTTACAGCACATGATTGGGGAAAACGTGGCTTACAGAATAGTGTTCAGGGTATGGTTTAAGTTTTTATGTCAAGGAAAAAAATGTATGTACAGAAGAAAGGTTAGGGGAGAAGGATTGCAGGTTCTTTCATCTCCTTTCTTTGCTGTTTGAAGTTTTGATTTTACAAAGAGAATGTATCGTCAGAAAAAAATTAATAAAATTACTGAATTTTGAAAACAAAATACTTTAAAAAATTTCTAACCCCCTTTTAGGCATAACTTCAACCTGAAAGAACATCTTAATGCCATATTCTTTACAAATGCTAAAGCAGAACATTATATGGCAACAGAAGAGAAAATGGAAATATATCAGGAGCTGATGCTTCTTTTTCTATTTAGGACTTTTTCTAAAACATGGAAAATGTGGGGAAGAGAGACACAGGATGGAGGGGACCCACACTTCTGCAGGCTGGGTCTTTCTGTAGGTCGTGTTAGGGGAGGGATGTAGCACTTCACACTGTGTGCACAAAAGTAGGATAGAAGATTCCGAAAGAGAGGTGATGGCTGGCACATGAGGGGTGATGGGGACAGGAACTGGGTGCCCAGGATGCTCAGATCCACAGAACAGCCTTGCTAGGATTTGCTTGGGAAGATCGTAATGTTCCCACATATTTATGTTTAATGGCTCCCATTGATAAGCACACTGTGGCCAGGTCCTGGGGCCCTAGGTCAATAGTCCTGGAGGGACTATTTCCCCATTGGCTCATGCACAGGTACCTAGCAGTGACAGTCTGATGCAGTGGGCCTCACACTTAATATGGAAGGAAAACTGAGGCAGCACAAGAGGGACGTTTGGAGGGAAGGATCCGGATGGAAGTCCTATTAATGCTGGATTATCAAGAAAGTACTCATCACTGTCCCCAGTGCTGCCTCTCCCCCTAGCTGCCAGCGCTTTAGTCATTTATTTTATGGCTCAGCAGCTTCCATGCCTTCTGGAGGGTAAATGAAAATCTGGCCAATTTCCCAGATTCTCTGTGATCCATATAAAGTTTGGTTTGGGGAAAAGATTCTGCAATCATAAATTTGAAATATTTAAAAAATTATCTGAGTCTTTGAGTCCTCAGTGCCTTGGCCCTGCTAAATGGGAATGGGTATGAGGGTGGCAGGACCTCCAAGTTTTGCAGGAATCACATTTGTGAAAGAAGGTGGTGCAGGAGGAAAACGGGGAATGCATATACTTCATCTGATATGGATCTTATCTTCTGGATTGAATTTGGTCCTTAGATTCTATGGCCAAGAACAGGGGAGTTGGGTTTAAAGATGCAATTAAAAATTATCATATAGTAAGTTCTAAAAATTCTCATACGGCTCCTTTATTTTTCCTTTTTGCATACAGCTCTATGCATTTTAACACATGTATAGATTAGATTCCTGGAACCACCACCACTGTCAGGATATAGAATAGTTCTATCACCCCCAGAAAACTCCCTGTGCTGTCTCTTTGTAGCCACATCTTACCCCCACCTGTAACTCCCAACAACCAGTCACCTGTTTTCCCTCATGACCGTTTTGTATTTAAGAGAATGTCACATAAATGGCATCATGCAGTTTGTAATCTTTTGAGACTGGCTTCTTTCATTCAATGTAATGTCTTAAATACTCATCCAAGTGGTCGTGTGGATCAATAATTCACTCCTTTTCACCACAGAGGAGTAGTCCACTGGATGGACACAGCAATGTTTATTTCACCATTTACATTAAAGCACATTTGGGTTGTTTTCAGCTTTTGCTTATCACAAACAGAGCTGCTCTACCCAGGCTTTTGTGTGAACTGAAGTTCTGACTTCTCTGGGGTATATACATAGGAGCCGGACAGCTTGGGTATATGGGAAGTGTACGTTTAACTTTGTAAGAAACTGCCAAACCATTTTTCCAGAGTGGCTGTGCCATTTTGCATTCCCACTTGGCATTCCCAAGACTTTTTATTTTAGCTACTCTCATGGGTCAGTAAAGTGATCTCTTACCATGGACTTAATCTTTATTTCCCTAACGGCTAATGATGTTGAACATCTCTTAATGTGTTTATTTGTCATCCTTATTGCCCTCTTTGGTGAAATGTCTTTTCAGGTTCATTGCTCATTTTTGAGCTGTTTGTTTTCTTATTGCTGAGTTTTGAGAGCTCTTTAAATAAAGATGCAATTTTATTGGATGGTAAGAAGAGGTGAGAACAAAGGAGGGGAAATAAAAGGGACTTCCTTTCCACTGCCTGAAAGGGACTAGGGAAAGAAAAAAGGAAAAATAGAAGCAGAAACAGAGCTGCAGATAGGGTTTTATTCTCCACCCACACCAAAGCTGAAATACAACCATACTTACTGCTTCATAATCTGCCAGCTCCAGCCTTGCTTTATTCTGCATTGTCCTCTTACAGAGATAGATGGCTGACGGAAGAAGAGAAATTACAACATGTGCAAAACTAGCAGTGTGGTGGCATCACAAATCCATCCAACCGTCTGTCCATCCACTCATTCACCCAGCCATCCAGCCAGCGTTCCCTGTGTGCTCAGCCCTGATCTGTGCAGGATATGCTTCCATGTGGGAGCCATGACACCTGATGTCCAGGAATCTTCCAGCAGGTCAGGATCAGATGAGGACTCCATCTTCCAAGTCTTGACTGCTCCCTTTCACCCTCCTCACTCTGTTTCACTCCAAGCATCCCCCACCAGGGTCACCTTTTACAAATATGGTCATGTTACCTTCCTGCCTACACTCTCTGCATTGCTTCCTCAGGGACCTCAGAAGAGTGGTTGGGCTCCTTATGGTGGCATGCTTGGTTCTTTAAGATCCATTTGCTTACCTTGTCAATCTCTTCCTTCCCTGCCTCACTTGGGCATATGAGGCTACCAAACCCCTTTCAGTTCCACTCTTCCACCTGTGTGTTCTCTGCATGAAAGGTTCCACTTCCCTCTTCTTTTCCTCTCTCTGGTAACCTTCTACTAATCTTGGAAGACCTAGCTCTGTGTTCCAGATGGCATCTACCAATTCTCACCGATGGAACTTAATTCCAGTGCACCATAATTACGGGTTTACTAGACTGTCTCTGGCTCTGGGCCGAGGGCTCTTCAAGGGCAGAAGCTGTGTCCTGCTCAGCTTGAATCCCTATACCTAGCATCAGTGTTGGACTGCCAGGTGGAGTGAATGAACAGTGGAAAGGATGGACAGTTTGGTCTCTCTTCCCAAGCTAAGGAAGGGTTCTTGGCCCTCAGTTGCCAGAGGATTCTTCCTGAAACCTGACTTCACCACTTCTTCTTCCTCTCCCTATGTCTCCTTCTTCAATATCTCCTTCCTTCTCCAGTGCCAAGTAGACAATATGATTGACCAATGGGATGACCAGGAGAGAGGGTCAGAGAGGGCCTGTGGCTGACCTGTGTTTTGACAAGTTAGTTATACTAGGAGATCTGGTCAAATCCTTGCTGGATCAACCAACCTCCTCCATGTGGTCTGAAAAACGTGCTCATGGCAGCTTACAATATGCTTGCACCTCATGGCTGGCAGCCTCCTCTGACATGCTCATGCTTCCGCTCATGCCAGTTGAGTTATATATGGATGAGAGTCAGTTGTGTTTGCTCTCAAATCTGTCTATATCAGACACACCTGTTATTTTAATACTGTATGTTCACTATATATCATATATCACTGATGAAACTGATGTGAAAAGAGATTGCTGTTTCTATGAAGACCCGGGTGAATGGTTTGCAACAATTTGATAAAGAAGAGTTGGCTAAGACAAATGCTCATGAGTTTGGTGGAGGTGAAATAACTGAAAAAAATGAGGAAAAATACTAAAAATCTGAAAGGGGTAAACATACAGGTTGGTTCAAAAGTGGTTTTAAATTCCTGATGCACTTTAAAGATGGCAAAACTGGGTGGTTTATTTTGAGTGTGCTTTAGTTAAGAAAGAAACTCAAATTACTGGGGCCCATAATCGATGAGAGTCTTTGGTCCATCTCATAAACCTGTCAAAAGATTGTATCTTTGTTTAGCTTTGGTTGATATGAAGTGATTATAGTAGGAATGTATCTCTTTTTCGTAACCCTCCACTTACCAGCTTTTTCAAAGAACCAGGCAGCCATAACTCTCCATAATGTCTGATGAAGGGGCATCTGCTCTATTACAAATTACCTCCTTTACTCTCTTGGACCGCCATTTAGGCAGCCTGTGGAATTGGGGGCTACTAAAGAGGAGCCTGTCACCATCCCTACCACACTGGCCTTGTGGACCCAGGAGCAGAGCAGCTCAGTGGAGGTGAAAGCTGCTTTGATAATGCTGTCCCAAACAGTATTTTGTACTGGATAAATATAAGACTCAAGAAAGTCTAACCCAGGCTGGGCTATGGACTTCATTTAAGCAGAATCATCCTGAGAAATATCTAACTCATCTGGGTCAAAATGGGCCAGCTAGGTTGTAAAGTAAAATACTGTGCATGGAATGCAAAGCTAGTACCCTTCTTGATGACTTTGAGCTACTTGGTCACATGCTTTCAGCTTGCTTCCCCTGGGGCTAATGCCATATGTTAAGGAGTCTCTTCACCACAACTAGGTAGGTAGGTTGTAGCTGTTAAACTTTCCTTGGTATAGAACTTGGGGTTTGTCTGTACTACTATGGTGCCTTCAACCATGCTTGCTCTAATGCCTAAGCAATCAAATGGCCCCTGGTAATGACAGCCAGTCCTATCACAGGGCATCTGGGAGACTCGCTTTAAGTTCAGATGTTGGTTTTTCTCAGATATTTAATTTCTCATTGGAAAATCTTTGTCTCCTTGCCCTCACACCTGGCAATCCTACCTCCTGGCATCTCATTTGGATGACCCACTGCCATTTCAAGCTCATCACATCTCACCATGATAAAAATAGAAAACATTAAAAATTTTTGAAGTGAACAGATTCGTATACTACATGTGCAACTAAACAATAAAAATATTGACCTCCTCCTATTTCAATGTACTTAAAGAACAGACTCCCTTTTCAAAGTTTGCCTTAACATGTATGTCTCTGTGCTTCTCATACCCTCGAATTGCTTTTTGGTACAATGGGATTTTAGCATTGGAAGTAACCTTGGTAACCATCAAGCACAGGTCCCTTATGGCCAGATGGGAAAACCAAAGGCCCAGAGAGGTGAAGTGATTTACCCATAGGCCGGTTAGTGGCAGAGGTGGAATTAGAACTGATGTCTAGTTCAGAGCTTTTCCCATAATGACATTCGCTGCCCTATATACTCATTCATTTATTCATTCATTCACCCATTTAAACATTTACTGAGTGCCTCTTATGTGCCAAGTAGTGTTTTACATGTTGGAATATCACCATAACAGCCCCTACCACCTACATGAAGCTCATTGAATGTCAGGTGCTATTCTAGAGACTTTCCGAATGTTCACTTACTCAGTCCTCAAATAACACTATGATTATCCTCATTTTACAGATGAGGGAATGTTTGCAGGTCATTCCCCATTGTTGAGACTCCCTAAGGCTGCTACATCCATTCTAAATGTCTCTTCCCGATTCCAAAGGCTTTTTGATAAACTGCCCCTCCTAAACAATTCAACTTTCTCAGTCATTCTTCATCAACATGAAACCTCTGAATACTCAGATCAGACTCCTCCTCACTCTCTTCCTTCCCACCATGATTCCTCCCCAAGCCTGGAAAGCTTACATGATAAGACTGTGGTTTATTCAAATCTGTGCCATAGCAACTGACACAGAGTGGGTGATCAGTAAAGGTTTGTTGAATGAAAGTTTTTGGTTTTTCATCAATCCAAATCATACCTATTCTGAGTTCTTTTTTTTTTTTTTAAGATTTTATTTATTTACTCATGAGAGACACACACAGAGAGAGAAGCAGAGACACAGGCAGAGGGAGAAGCAGGCTCCATGCAGGGAGCCCGACGTGGGACTCGATCCCGGGTCTCCAGGATCACACCCCGGGCCGAAGGTGGCACTAAACTACTAAGCCACCGGGGCTGTCCCTATTTTGTGTTCTAAGCTTTGCTTTCACATCCTCTCTGGCAAGAGGGTCATCACAAAACTAATACTGTCAAATATTACTTTAGTAGTAGTAATACTAACCATCACCATGGTTTCTATTGAGTCCTTACCATGGGTCACACAGCAAATGTAATAGGCATTGCATTTCATCTTAACAAAATAACACTAGGAAATGAGTACTATTATTATTCTAATTTTCACATGAAGTTTCTGAGGCACAGAGAGGTTAATTAACTTGCCAAGATCACACAGCTAGTGTAGCCAGTTGACCCTGGAGCGGCTGTCCTAAATTCTCTCTTGGTAAATACTTTGATTTTCTGACTAAATTGCTTTGTAAATGCTGGTGAGTACCTTTGCATCTCATACCTTGACTTCTCCATCTGACTTGCCAAAATAATTTTGTTTTAATGAGAGTCTGATATAAATAGTTATTTCTATCCTTGTTCAGGCTGCACAACTAAAATCATATGTGGAGAAGCCATGTAGAGAAAAGGAACTAATGCCCTGGTGTATTAGTGCCCAATAACTCCAATAACTGAAGCTTTATGGGTTCATATTCAAGTAGGTATCTTCCTCTTACTAGGGTCTAGTTATCTGGTCCTGTCATCCTCCCCACACTCTTCACGGCCTGTAAGAATATTGGATTTTACATTCACAAGGGCACATGGGCTGCTGCATGGATCTGAGCTACAATTACTCAAATTTCCAGTTTGGCTTTTGTGAGCAGTACCTCAGCCCCAGAAGAACTTGTTTTGTGAATAGCCAAATGTAGCTCTGATTTTGAGTTGGAAGCTTTGCTTATCCACTTATCACATCATTTAGAGCACAGCCCAGTTCCAGGGGGACCCACTGTGGTACCTGCAGATAGCTGCAGAGACCCCTGCATGATGGCCGTCCTTCAGACCTGAAAACAACAACTGTCGCCTTACAAGCCATGAGTCATCCACACCCCATCCTTGGCATCACTCCCACCTGCTGGTGTTGGGAGTAAGCCAATCTAACTTATCTCAAGGTCTCTGGACAGGCTTCCCTGAACACTACCCAGTTGCACACCTCCCTCCATACTCTTCAGCTGCCTCTGCCTTCCTGTGCAAGCAATCCTCCAAAGTACCTCGGGAGAAGCTGTGTGTCTCACCAAGTGCCCCAGTCCCAAGGAGAGCCACTGTGGATTGCCTTAGCATTGAAGTCAGTGACAAGGATGCTGTGCAAAAGGACAGGCCATGAAAGGAGCATGGGCCTGGAAGCCACTCAGATCTGAGTTCCAATTCTGATGCTTCTACTGAGTGTCTGTTAACCACCTTTAAGAAAGAACCAGAACTGTCAGCAACTATTTACAAAGTGCCAACTAAACCTCAGCCATGAACTTTGCACTGGGGAGCATAAGAATGAACAGGGAGGGGGATCCCTGGGTGGCGCAGCGGTTTAGCGCCTGCCTTTGGCCCAGGGCGCAATCCTGGAGACCTGGGATCGAATCCCACGTCGGGCTCCCGGTGCATGGAGCCTGCTTCTCCCTCTGCCTATGTCTCTGCCTCTCTCTCTCTCTCTCTCTCTCTCTGTGACTATCATAAATAAATAAAAATTAAAAAAAAGAGAATGAACAGGGAGGCCCAGTACCTGCCTAGAGCTTACGACTGACTGGACATCCAGATAAGTAGAATACAAGGTGATAAGAGTGAGGGTGTGGCCTCTCTGAGCCTCAAGTTCTTTATCTGGAGTATGGAGACAATATAACTTCTTTAGAGGGTTGGCATGTGGAAATATTAAAGAGTCTCATGGAGATTATGTGGTAAGAGTCTGACAGATATCTGCCTGGACAGAAGTAACTCTGTTCTTGACAAGCTCCCAACTTCAGCCACTCTTATTTTCCTAGTCCAGGGTAACTTCTGTACACTCCTCTCTGGTCTGTCTCCCTTTCCCCCTAACTTCTAACTATCAAAACCACCAATGAATTATTAGTAAGTCTCAACAAGGCTATGAGAATAGAAAGACCAAGGGGGAGGTGGCCCCTTGATCCAGCCCTTCCTGAAACTCTGCCCCAGAAAGGACTGGTCAGCAGCCACTATCTTGGTTCTCCATGGCTCCCTGGAATGAGCATGTTGGCCAGCTTGATAGAACTTTTCTTCCCTTCCCCCATTCCCTTCCAGAGGCTGCAACTGTCGGTGTGCACTGCCTTTCTTCATTATGTGGAACAGGGAGCATATTACATGTCAACGGTATGAAAAGGATTAAGCAGGATAGCGACCCCTCCTCCCTGCGTGGTAGTCACCCAGACACCAGGCATTTGTCTTCCACACTCCCAGAAGTGACACTTCTTCACTGCTCACCGTAGTCGGTGTTTTCAGGCTCCCAGCAGTTCGAAGGCCAAAAGTATGGGGCCTGCAAAAGAGCACCGATGTCAGGACTCAAGGGAATGGCAGCCCCTGTTCTCCTCTGCCTGGAGCCAGGATCTACCCTCTCCAGCCCCTAGTGAGGAACCCTCCTAGTGACACGCCCCACCCCCGTTTCCTTTGTGCTGACACCACCCTCTTCTCCCATTCTTAATGCATCTGAGGCTGTCAACATTTTAATCTCAGTATTGAGAAATGAAATCCAAGGTGAGCAAAATAAATGCAAAAATGAGAGAGTTTATACAGCAAAGATTTCTTATCCTAAGACAGTAGAAGTAAGATGAGCACAGTTTACGGGGATGTAAACTCCAAGTTCCTTTTATCCCTTTGAATTGTGTCCACCTAAAACTGATATGTGGAAGCCCTAGTCTGCAGCGTGGCTGTATTTGGAGTAAGGAAGTAGTTAAGGTTAAATGAGGTTACAAGGGTGGGGCCCTGACCCCACAGGGTTAGTGTCCTTATAAGAGGAATTGCTAGAGAACTCATTTTCTCTCTGTCTTTTTCAGGCAGGGTTTCACTGAGAGGACACAGTGAGAAGTGGCTGCCCGAAAGCCCAGATGAGAGCTCTCACCACAGATGGAACCTTCTGGAACCTTGATCCTGGACTTCTAGCCTGTGGAACTGTAAGAAATAAATTTCGGTTGCTCAAGCCACCCAGTCTGTGGTATTTTGCTATAGTAGCTAGAGCAGACTAGGATACCCTTTGATTCTATCTGAAAAACTCCACTCCAAACCCCTTGGTGACCTTGACACAACCCCTTATCCTCTGCCTCAATTCCTTCTAGGACAGGATCTGAGAAAAGGAGAGGAAAATCAGTGGGAAGGGTTAGGCAGCAGATAGAAACTGCACACTAGGAAAACAGTATGCCAAAGTAGAAAGATTGAAGTCTTTGCCATTGGGCTGACCTATGCTCAAATCAAGGCCACCTCCCAGATTTATTAATCCTCAGAGCACCTCCTCAGTGTTCTCATCTGTCAAATGGGTGATATTTACCTCCCAAAAGTTTGCTATTCAGAATGAATGAGGAAATATGGGGAAAATCCAACCCCATCCACCAACAAATGGCCCAAATAAAAGCTTGTTTGGCCTTCCCAGTGCTGGGGGGAGATAAGGGTTGCTCCCTTAAATACCCTCAGTTTTGTAGGTAGTTCTAATCTGAGATCAGATGATTAGAGAACGTTCTTCAGGGGGTCGAGCTGGCAGGCCTACCTGGAAACGGTAAAAGGTGCCATCATCCTTCATGGTGAGAACGTGGTCTGAGATTGGAAAGATGTAGCCCTGGGCAGCTATAAGGCTTCCCAAGTGTATTGCTTCAACTGCATGGACAGGGCAGGAGAGAGAGAGAGAGAGAGAGAGAGAGAGAGAGAAGTATTTAGCAAGCTGTCAGAGTGCAGGGCTCCTTAGCTGGATCGTAAGTCAGGCAACTGGAAGCCAGCTGTCCTTACCCCCAGATAACTGCATGATTGATTGACTGATTGATTGATAACCTTTGATATAAATGTACTGGGTTGGAGGCAGGGAGTGGGGTTGGGAAGGGACAACATATGTCCAGGCCCCATCTGGGTTCCAGCTCTGAGAATCTGACATTGCTTAACTTCCCCCAAGACTTCCAGAAGAAAGTAGCTTCACAGTTAAGAGCACTGGCTCGGGCACATACACACCTGTACTGAATCAAAGGGCATGTTTCATGCAGGTGCTTAGCAGGGCCTGGTGCTCAGTAGGTGCTGGCAGTCCTGATTCATCTTCGTAGTTTCATCATTTTTATCATCCCCGGCAACAAGCACATGGCCTCACTGCCCAGAGAGACTCTGGACTCACATTACATTCCCCAATATGACAGTCCCACCAGAGAGGAGGAGAGGATTGCCCTTCTCTTATGGACACAGAGTAAAACCTCACTTTCTTATGAGATTGGAGAAAGGGCACTATAGTGGGCAGTGGCATAGGGAGACCAACTTGACAGAAATATTTATATTTTTGCCACAATTAATCCATTGTTTTTGTTACATTGTACCGGCCATAAATCGAGTCACACAGTTAAGAATTTACATTTATTCTGAGCAGAGTTAAGGAAAAAATAACAAATCTAAATGGGTCTACCATGCATGATAATCTTTCCCAAATATAAAATTACTCTTACTGGTAAAAACTAATTTTTGGATGTGGAAATTACTGATATGCTTAGGGAGACTCCAGACATTATTAATTTTCATTAGCTCTGAATTTTTTAAAGTACTTTGTTTTGTCCTGCGAACTTCTCAAGGGGGTGTATATAATCCAAGTGTTTTGCTTATTTAGAACCACCTATCCTTGGGAAATAGCTTGTGGAATCAGAATGAATGAAGTTGTATTTTATTTGCTTAGTGATGACCAGATTGCTTTTTAAAGTCTACATGCTTCAAGAATCATGGGTCCAGCAAAAGAAGAGTTTCATCACTGGCAGCTGCTTCTTCCACAGGGAAGAGAGAACAAAATCTGGTAAGACGGTGACTTTCATGTCACCAATGTAGGAGCTAGAACTCTCACTTCATCCTTTGTGGTTTTGCTTAGGTATATGGCAGATGGGGAGGAAATGGGGAAGGAGGGGCAGACGCTGGATGTGCCTGGCTTCCCGATGCCTTGATTTGCCTCATTTCCACACTTCTTTTCCTAGTTGGTGAATTAATCTTATCTCCTCCTGCTCATCCATTTTTTTCAGAAGCCCAAACAGTTCCCAAAAACTTGATATCCTCCTAAAGCCCATTTGAGTATAAGAGACCTTCAGAGATATGATCCTTACTATTCATGACCTTTCAGAGAAGCTTCTCAGGTGAGGGCCAGAGGTCTCCTAAAGCCTATTCCTCTACCACTCACTGGCTCAGGGCTCTCACAATACTGCTACTGCTACTAATGATCATAATAAAGTATGTGCCAGGAACATAATGAGAATCGTAGAAGGGTAAAGAAAACAGTGCAACTGGAAGAGAAGAGACCACCTTGAAGAAAAGGACTCCTTAGGCTTAGCATTATAACAAAGAAACATTGGCTTTACATGCATGTAACTAAACCCATAGACATGTATCAGTCCAGTTTTTACAAGTGGACAATTGGAAGTCCAGTCTGCATGAGGGAAACACATGGCGTAGTTAATTCGGGCTCTTTCCTTAAAAGGATTTGAATTCACAGGTTCTCCCTGTGGATTAAGAGCTTGACTAGAATTAAGAATTTTCACTAGTCATGGAAGTGACCATTAATCATGATGGTGAAAAAGGCTAGTGTCGCTTCCATTAATGACCTGCTTTTGTGCACTCAGATTTCTGGCAACTGTATTTAATTGAACTCTGTGTAAATTATATTGTTAAATTATATTGTTTCATAGTCAATAGTATATTGGGAGCATCAGATTAAAATATAGGAATTCCTGAGCTGACATAGTGACCCCAGGAAGGAATCACAGCTGAAGGTCAGATGCCTAGAAAGGGTATTAAAAAAAATCTTTAGAAAGCATAGCCACTAGAAGCTATTTAATTTGGGGTAGATAGGTTTAATCCCCAAGAACATAAGAACACATTAATGGATATTTATAAATATGACCTTCAGGCATCAAGGATACTCAGTCAAAACAGGAAGTGTATAATAAACTCTGAAAAATATTAACTAACACAGATAGTAAGATTTGCTTATGTGTAATTTTCATTTTTCTGAAACTCCTCATTTTCCAATTATGCTATGAAAATAAATTTTACTACTTATTTTCTGGTGAGAGGACAGATTTGGAAACTGTTTTATTGGCCAGGGTTTTGTTGCTGTTTTTCTGGTAAGGTTTTCCTAATTGAAATGCACAATTAAGGTTGGAAAAAAAATCATTCTTTCACTTCTTGTAGAAGCAGAAAACAGAAGGAGTCTTAGCAAATAATTAAACATCTTAATTGTGGATCAAGCAATCTAATTTTAAGAGCTGGCTCTAGAAGGCTGTTCTGTGATAGCTCTACAACTTATCTTTAATTGCTGTGGCTAACGAGAATTCATCTCATTTCACATGTTATTGTATTGGGCTCTTTGGCACTCTAAATAATTGCTCATTTCCTCAAAGGGTGATTTAGATTTAAAGATAGATATTCAGTCAAGAAAATAAATTAATTTTATTTGCAAATAGAGTGATTCCATATCTTGGGATTCACATTTATAAGCCTAGTTCTCAGGAAGATAGGAGAATCTGGTTTAGAATTTGTTTGTGGGATGTCCCTCAATACCATGGAGGATGGTCAGGGTCAAGTACCTGGGTCCTCGATGGAAAGGTTCTTCATAAGCCACTGCACAATGTCAGTACCTGAAACGATAAAGCACTTTGAACTGAAGATGTCATGATGCTTATCCTGTGGCAGAAGAAACATGGTTACCTAAGAAAGTCCTAATTCCAACTAGCACATGCCCACAGAGCTAGGTAATATTGATGATTTTTCATTCCTAACTAACAATGTCTATCTAGTGGGACACTTCCGTAGTCACCATCCTATTTGTTTCCGAAAAAAAAAAAAAAATCCACTTCTGATGACTCAGGATGATCTTGTGTCCATACTTCTAGGGAGTATCTAGAGGGGACTTCCTGCAAATACAGATTTCAATGACTTCCCCGAGACAGGTGAGGTGAAATTTTATCACACCTGGTTCTCAGGATATTTCCTGAGGGAGGAGGTCTCTTCAGCATCCTACCCTAACTGACAAGGCCTGACCAACAAAGGTGACCTTACAGGTCCTTAAAAAAAAAAAAAAAAACACCTCTAATTTTTTTTCTGGCATGGGCCTATTTTAAATGAAAATGACCTTATTTCTGGGGAGAAATTTCTATTCACCAAAACCTCTTTCCTCTAACCCTTAGGTCACTACATTACATTTCTAGACTATTCTGCATTTGGGTATAGATTGAATGTATTATGGCTGGAAATGACATATACCCCTTGTAGTCCTGGACCATGAAAACTCCCATTTGACCCTTTCATTCTCTATCTGCTGGCTGAATGGAGAGAACCCCAAGAACCCAGGCAAGGACAGAGCTGCAATGTGGAAGGAACCTGGGCTCCTGAACAACCACAAAAATTGATGCCCATTTTAGGCTCTGACTTGATTTTAAAAAACTAAAAAACAAACAAACAAAAAAACCAAAAAACAAAAACTTTGTTGTGTTAAGCCCTAGAAGTTGGGATTTATCTGTTTTGACATCGAGTCCAACCTTAACTAACATAAAATTGTAAGAGTTGGAAAGGACTTCTAAAGCTTGCGTACTCCAATCCTTGCCAATACTGGAGTCCCATCCATAATACCCTGGACAGGAGGTGCCATAATCTCCACTGGGAAAAACCCTCTTACCTGGGAATCACAGTTCCCCCCTTGTTAGCCTGTCCCAGTGAAATCATCTTTGATTTCTCTGAACAGAGATATGACCCTCTCTAAATTCCTCTCTTGGACTTAACATTTGTCCTCTGATGACAGAAAAACAAACCCAGACCTTCTTGCTCTGGAGGGAGTCCATTCAATATACTATCAACATTCTTCTTGAATTTATCCCCCTGAGGTGAAACATATCTGGGTCCCTCAGCCATTTCCTCCCATGACATGACCTAGACCCCCTTCCCACTCTGGTCACAATCCTCTGAATATGTTTTCTTTTGTTTGCCTCTCTTTGAAAATGTCCAAATTTCTGGAAGGTTCTGAACTCCCAGTCAATTCACCTTTTCACTCAACCATCTCACTTTAAACCAGTGCAGATCTTCAAAGATCCCAGTGCAGATCTTCAAAGGTGGCTTTGTCACCTCAGGATGGAATGCTTGATGGCAAGCAGCCTGAAAAGGGCAACATTTCTAGATGTCTGAGTCCTGTCGTGCATGGGTCTGAGGCTTGGTGTGAGAGACAGGGTCTGCCCATAGCTCTCCTGGAACATATTCCCAGCTGCAAACATGAAGAGCTACCAGAAGTCTTTAGGGAGCATTGCCTTTCCCAGAAATAAAGTTTCTCAGAAATTTGACTGGTTGCCAGAGGTGAGAGCGACACAGACCTGTTTCTCTCTGGCTCTCTGGAGGGAGAATGAACCCTGCTCAGTAGACAACCAGGGCGCCATCCTACTCCTTCTGTGCTCCCCCGGGACCAGCCTCCACTGACACAGCCCAGCAAGTTCCCCCCCATTTCAACCTCAAAAGCAGAACTTCTAAGCTTTTCCCCGCTCTTGCTCCCGGATGGCGTCTGTGAGCTAAACTTTGGATCAAAACCACTCCTATTCATTCACATTCTTTGAGAGAAAGGAGAGTCTGTCTGTGTGTGTTTGTGCGTGTGTGTCCATCTCCTCCAAATTATACAAGTTCAACATTTGTCCTAGGAAATGAAGAACAAAGCAGAAATCAAATAAGAACTGTAATCCCAAGTTGGGGGTGGGGGAGAGACTCTAACCTGTTTTTTTCCTCAAAAGAAAAATAGTTCTTTTTTGTGGGTTGCCTGGAAACGGATAGGTTTCCAGCATCAGCAACAGCTCTCCCCCGGGCAGGCGGATTATCTTTCTGCTGAGCTTGCTGAACCATTATTTATCACCTGCCAAGATTGATTACTCACCCTGGGACAATGACAGCCCTTCCTTTCCCCTGTTAATTACTGTCATCATTAATATCCATGTCACTAATTAGTATTCATTCACATTGAAACTCCTTCCTTGCTATCATATCCGCTCCCCCGTCCACCCCACCCGAGACTTCAGCACCATTGTCTAGATTTCTACCCCCTTTTGGTTTTCTGTGCTCAGTGTCTGGCCTAATTGTTCTCCCCAGTCCACCAGGCCCTGGTTTGCATTCACAGAGCTGAAGGATCACATTTAAGCCACCCCCACCTTCTTTTTTTTTTTTTTTGGTAAAGAAGGGAAAGTCACAAAATCCTCTTTCCTTTTTACCTGGCAATGTGAGGACCATAGACCTGGGTTTCTTGCCCTGATGCAGCCACTGTAACAGTCAGGGTCTTCATCTGGCGACTGGTGTGACTATCCTCAAGCCCCTGGCAGTCCTGGGCCACTGCCCTGTTTGCAGTGGTAGCCACATCCCCACTGTCCCTCACCACTGCGGCCTGCGTGGTGGCCTTCAGCGAACATGACAACCCCTTGGGTGCTGGACATTCTCGTTCATCTTGGGTGTGGGGTATTTTAGGCTTCCTCGGACTAACCCAGGAGGGGCCAGCTTCCAGCCTTGTGGCAGGAAGTAAATGTTGCATGTCAGCCCCGGGAACAAGTAAGGGAGGGAAATCTGTCATAATATTATGTCCTTTAAAAGACCTACAATTATTACACTGCAGAATCAGGCGAGAATTGTGCAAACAACCGTCAGGAGAAAGATCTTTCTTCTTTTTTCTCTTTCCTTTCTTCCTTTTCCCCTCTGGCCCCCAACCATTCTTTCCCTCCTATTCTAAAAAGAATTTGAAGTGGATTATTTTTCTATTCTCTCTCAAATTAATTGTTGTCCTTTGTTACCACTGTTGGATTCGGTTCTTATCTTAGTCAAGCTGCCCTACCAAGGCTTTAAAGCCAGTGTAGAAACATTAGGGACCAATGCAGAATAGCCACCCTTTATCCCCAACGGTTCTAAAACACTTGGCTGAAAGTTTCCTTTTTGAGGATAATATAATTCACATATATTCCAGGGATTTCCATGAACAACATCAGAGGGCACCTGAAACTCTCCTGCATAGCATGCATGGTTTGTTAGTATACTGAAGTATACATTTATTATATACAGGTATGACTTATGTTTTTATATGTGTTGTATGCAAGTACTTTAATTATATCTTTCACATATAAGCATGTGTATTGGGAGGGTATTTGTACATAACGCAAAGGTTCTCAAGTAGGGTATTGAATAATTAATTATGGCTTGTCCATACAATACATATTTATTGAACACCTACTGTATTAAATGAAAAAACAGATCAAGAACAGTGTGTATTGTAAAATGACATTTAAAAATTTTTTTAATGACGGGGGATCCCTGGGCGGCTCAGCAGTTTAGTGTCTGCCTTTGGCCCAGGGTGCGATCCTGGAGTCCCAGGATCAAGTCCTGCGTCGGGCTCCCTGCATGGAGCCTACTTCTCCCTCCTCCTGTGTCTCTGCCTCTCTCTCTCTCTGTCTCTATGTCTATCATAAATAAATAAACAAATAAATCTTTAAAAAAATTTTAATGACGCTTTTACAACAGAAAAGACATATTTACATTTGTATCCTATTAATCATGTATGTACAGACATATATGGATACTGAGAAGGAAAATTCTGGAAGAATATTTAAACTGGTCAGGTGATCTTGGAGAAGGAGGAGGGTCAAATTATAGGAAATTTCTATTCTTTTTTTTTTAAGATTTTATTTATTTATTCATGAGAGAGAGAGAGAGAGAGAGAGAGAGAGACAGGCACAGAGAGAAGCAGGCTCCATGCATGGAACCTGATGTGGGACTCGATCCCGCATCTCCAGGATCATGCCCTGGGCCGAAGGCAGGCGCTAAACCACTGAGCCACCCAGGGATCCCGAAACTTCTATTCTTTACATGTACTTATTATTTGGAGTTCACAGAACATTAATTTGTGGCTTAGGCACCAAGAAAAATACTTTTCATTCCAAAGAACAGAGAGGGACATGGAGGCCTCTGAGACCAGGAGTGGAGAGAATGTGAGGAATCAGGTTGCAGACACGAGGTAGAGAGGGTGAGGGGAACTTCGAGTGGCCTCCTGCTGCCCCTGGGCCCTGGGCATTTCCTGCCCTCCAGGGAAAGGGCAGAGAACAATGAAGGCATGACTCAAAGCTGCCTTTTCCCTGAGTGCCTTTTCCACTCCTAAGCCTCCATGTTGGGCTCTATGCTCAGTGGGGAATCTGTTGAGATTCTCTTTTTCCCTCTCCCTCTGCCCCTCCCCCTTCTCAAACAAACAAATAAATCTTTAAAACACACACACACACACACACACACACACACAATGCAACAATTAGCCAGCAGGGAAAGCTGAACTTACTTAAGAGGAGATGTTAAACTTTAGGGCTTTGGACGCAGTGACTAGCTGGCAGGAAGACAGAAGGAGCGTCAGGAGGAAGAACTGTGTGGCGTGAACAAATTTAGTGGCGTTTTGAGGAGTAGAGTTTGGTCAATGGGTTTGAGTTTTTCCAAGGAAAAGTGTGGCAAATTTCACAGATAGATGCTTGTTTACCAAGTATATGAAGCAATAAGGCACGGTGTTTCTAAAGTCGGATTGAGTTCACGCTGCATCACTTACACACTGTGTGACCCTGGGCAGGTCCCTGAACCTCCCTCCACCCCA